GAGAGGGGTGACTTGATAGCAACCGCCACTGTGAGCAGGTGATGCTAACGACACACCGCGTCGGTCGGGGAGGGGGGGGGGGCAAAGTCAGGGGAAAGGAGGGCAGACTGTGCCCGAACTACATAAGTTTATAGGCCATCGCCTCGGGCCGTTCTGCCTGGGTTGTCCCGTCCCACCCCCACTGGGACTCATGTTGGTAAGGTTGGTGACCCACCCCGCCTCGCCCGCCATGTCAGCGTCTCCTACCTCACCCTGTTCCAGATGTCCCACGCGTGGGGTCTAGGGCTGTGGCTGTAAAGGAAAGGGCTGGTGTCTCGCACTGTATCTTTTTCTTCTCCACGTTCGCGTCCGTTGTCTGGCTGTATGCGTACGGAGCGATCACAGAATAGAATAATAGCCGAATTCCAATTTTTTTCTGCTTCCCCTCTTCCCGTGTCATGTCACACTGTCACACGTAGGGTATAGGATTGGACGTATTCCTATCCCGCGGTGGCAACGACCTATACGTTTGCGCCCTTGGTTGTTCGACCCTCTCCTCCCTCTGAAGCTGGACGGAGTGGAGGTCTTCCGGGTCCCGACAGGTTTGGCCTGTTATTGGCCTCTAGTCTCCTCCTTCGGCTGCCTCGTGTCTAGTGCTGGTGGTTGCTGGCCTAGAGGCCGGGCGAGAGGTGGAGTAGTGAGGGGGAGGGGTCATGGGCCTGTCGGCGAGCCTGTCGGCCGCAGTGCTGTGCTGCGGGGAGGCGCGGGGCCGGTCGGTAGGGGCCGGGGGCCGGGGGCCGGGCGCGCGGCTCATATGGCGGTGAGTCACTGACCTGCCGCACAAGCCGCACCGCGGCGCGGTCGCCACTCGCTGCCTCCGCCCGCGCTGTACCGTATGCCCGTGTGCGCGCCTGTGTGTTTGTATGGGTGTGCGTGCGCTGTGCCGTCTGTGTGTGTGTGTGCAGTGCACATGCAGGCGAGCCTGCACAATACGACAACATGACGTATGGAAGTCTCTCCCCTCTCCACTCCTCTCCCTCCCCTTCCTGAGGCTCCCTGCTGCTCCCACTGGCGAGTTGCACCACTCTGCGATCGATAATAGCACCCTCACGGATGGACTTGCGCCACCCTTCACGCCCTGCTGCTGCTGCTGCGGGGCGGATCATTCGCGCGGATCGATGGCGATGGCACCCGTGTGGGGTGTGGGCGACGGAGGGCTTTCGTGGTTAGGCAACACCGCACGTACGCGTGCGTGCGGGTTGCCTACTCGCTCGCCATACGGCGCTATGACATTACACGGGGTGGTCCACAGACCCCTTCCTTTATTTTGCTGATGCTGTACCGATGCATGCGTGCGGGCGGGTTGCATAGTCGCATGGGGTCATACGGGGTCATGCGGCGGTGTGGTGTGGTGAGTGACGGAAGGCAAGCCCGAAGCCCGACCGCACGTGCGCCTCATGCGGTACAATATCAGCAAAACAAAGGAAGGGCCTATGGACCACCCTGTAGAGATGGCTGGGGGGGGGGGAGGGGGCGGTCCTCGCAAGAAGGACAGCCCTGCCGGACCGAAAAACCATCAGGTCAACATAGACCGCGGTTCAGTAAAGTGAAGGCAAACTGCGTTCGCCTGCATGTGGTGGTGGTGGGCTGTCGGCCCAGTACTGCATCCCGTCTCTGGGATCATCCCTAGAGTACGCTCGCCATTCACCGTTACGAACCTGCCAAGTCCGGTCCGGCCTCTGCTGCAAGTCCTTGTAAGCGCCTGGTAGGTAGGCAACATCTTGCCTGCAGCGCACGCGCGTACTGCGGGCTGGCCTACCCGGAGTCTCGCAGGCGCCTAGTTCTCACAATTATTTACCGGATGGACCTGTGAAAAGCGGACGCACTTTCTGGGCGATCCCTCTGCACCTATCTGCCGGGGTCCCGCTGCTGCGAGGGCGGGCGGGCAGGGTCGTGCGGAATCTCTCACTCTCGCACGAGTCGCTGCCGGGCCAAGCGCCGCCGCCGTCCTTGAGCTCGGTGCGAGCTGTGAGCGGGCGCGGCTCTGCCATGGCTCTGCTCCGTCCCAAGGACACGCTGGGTTACCTCATTATGTACCGAGCAGCTGGCCGGCCTCGTCGGCGAAAAGAGTCGCCCGACTTTCCCGACTTGCATGCGTTTGGAAACAAGCAGGATGAGCACGTGGCGAGGCCCGACCAAGCGGAGCACGGCACGGCGGCGCCGGCAGCCCCGCCTGGAGAAAGTGAAGACGCCCTGGTGCCCCAGTGGTGCCCCCAGTGGGTGCCCCCTGCCTGCCCCGGTCCCGGTACCCTCCTTCTCTCCCGGCCTGGAGACAAGGCTCTGCTCACTGCGTATTATCTGCCGCCTACTTGCTGTCTGCAGCGAGGAGAGAGGCGAGTCGCAGGACGGAAGCGAAGCGAACAGCTGACGGCCCTGGAGCAGCAGGCTGCCTCCGCGCCGCCCGGCCCCAGCAGGCTCGGGCAAAAGTGGAGCGCCCACGACCCCGTGGGGCCTCCAGACATCTTAATTCGATGACGCGCGTCCAAGCAACAGACACGCGCGCGTCAAACCTAATCACCAATCACCAGCTTATCGGTCGATTGCGTGGGCGGCGGCGGCGGCGATGGCAGTGTCAACATCACATGTGTTTGTGGAAAGTGTTCCTCGTCTGTACAGCATCGAAATCAACAGACACAAAAACAACCGTTTTCAACTGCCGAAATTCTACTGGCATTCGTTTCACAGCGGCCGCAGGCTTCCTAAAAGAACCAGGACTCTCCCGCGGGCAGGCAATAAATTAGAGAGCTCAAAGGAAGACGCTTTTAATTTTTGCCGTGCGACGTTGTTGTTGATGGCGCTCGCTGACTCCGCGTCGAGCATAGCAGCAAGCAGGTCGGTGCGCGCCGCGCCGCGTGACCAGCGCTGACAGGCACGGCACGGCATGGCTTGCTGAGCCCCCCCCCCCTCCCCCCTCACCACCACGGCGTTGCCGGCGTAGCGTCGTCCTGTTCACGTTGTGCAACATGCAGACCATCCTTTGTCTCTCCCCCGCACTCGGCACGAGCCCGACGGGAGCCGCACGAGGACGCGCGAGACTCCGCGCCGCGGAGAGAGACGCCGCCCTCGCGAGACCAACGGCGCATCGAGGCGGTGCTCGGGATCATAGGACGCCCATCGGGAAGCGGCGGCGCATCACAACCGTACCATCCGCGATGAGAACCTGTCGGCCATCCGGCCCGGTGCAGCACAGCCGCGGCCCCGGTGTGCAGGCGGCGCCGTCATCGGCTCGAGTCTTGAGTCCTGAACGGCTTTGGAACCCGCCTGCGAATTAAGCAGCTCGCCGAGCCACAGACCCATGGCCTAGCCCTAGGCGAGGAGGCGCGGCCCGCGGCGCGGCGTGGCAAGGTCAGACGCCCCCCAACGCCACTCCATCGTGATCTCATGGGATGAGACTGGACGCCGCGGCGGCGGCGGTGTCTCCATGGGCGGCCGCGCGAGGCTGCCGTCATCGCGGGCATGGCCCTTGGGATGGCGCGGCGTGGCGCGGCGCGGCGCTGTGCCGGGGGCGGCCGGGGGCTACTGCGCCGTGCGGCCGCGTCACAGCGCCGTTAAAAACACTCTCGCATATCGCGAGTGCCGCGTGCGCGCAGGGAGGGGGGGGGGGGCACGCACCACGGCGTTGTATCCTCGGGCGCGCGCCCAAGCCCCCCGCCCCCACCGCGCCACGCCACGCGCCGCGACCGCGCTTCAAAACAGGCGTCACCTGTCTGCAGAGATGGAACGGCGCGTGTTGTTTTTGGAGGTGCGGGTGGCGGAGGCCTGCTGAAGGAAGTCCCGCGCCGACGGGGTTAAAAGGTACACAACCTAAATTTAACCCCCCCACCCCCACCCCCGTCTCTCTCCCCCGGGGGTCGGAAACCTCTCGGATCTCGCCCGCAGCCCGACATCACCATACCGCATTTTTCTCCTTTCCCGTCGCGCCGTTTCTCCGGTCGAACCACGCGACTCGTGATAGAGAGGCGCGGAGGAGCGTCGTCGAGCCACTCAATAACAAAGGCGCGCCGCGAAAAACATCCTTGTTGTTTTGTTCGGTGCGAATGAGCGGCGCAGCCCTTCTCCCCCGTGCCTCGCGTGTTTGCCGAGCACTGCGTGTTTCCAGTTCGCGTAAAAGGTGACTCACCGCGGCGGGCGGGCCGAACGGCGGGCACCACACGCCATGTCATGTCACTGCGTAGAAGAGACCATTCCCTCTCCCACTAGCCTATGCCTCGTCACTTTGGGGCTACTGTGCACAGCTGCAGCAGTGGCGCAGGTGCACGGCACGTCACGAGGTAACTTTCCCAGCCGGCTGCAGTCCACCACATTGTATAATTGTTTGCAGATCTTCCATGCATGCATGGAATGGTCTACACTGCGGTGCCAGCCGCTTTTAATTTACCATCGAATTTAGGTCGATCTTGCCGTTTTGCAAACGATACGTCGTGTACTGTTGAAAAGTTGAAAGTCAAACTGTTTTAACGCGTCAAAAGCATTGCCCTGCTAAGCTTTTTAACAGTTCTCCGCTCTGGGTGTGTCGTGAGAGGTTGATAGTAAATTAAACACCAAACGTCAAAATCAATCAACAAAGAATCATCTGCTTTACGTGAGAATTAGGCGTTACCTTGTTTTCTTCTTGTTTGTGCAGTGCGCCACCGGGTGGTGGGACAAAATACACTAGCAGCTACGCCCCGCCCTAACCCACCGCGCCCCGCCCCGCCCCGCTCGCGGTCGCGCAGCAGACCGCTGCGCCAGCCACTGCAAGTGACCCGGAATGCAGGCGCGCGGCCAGCTTCAACGGAGCTACGAATATCGCGTTTATAGGTCAGAAATCTCCGCGGCGGGTGCCCCCCTGTCGGGTGGGCGGGCTGCGCTCGGCGGCTCGAGCCACGTCCGCGGCCGTGGACGCGGCGGTGTCGCGGTGTCGCTGTCGCTATGCCCGTTGGGAAGGGGGAGGATGGGGTCGTGCAGGATTTACTGGTGAGAGTGCTGCCCCATTCCCCCAAGGCGAGCCGCGTCATGTGCAGGCTTGCTCTCGGTGCCCTGCTCAACCAGTGGCCGCCTTTGCCTGCCTGGCCTCGGCCTCGGCGGGGGCGGGCGGCGCGAGGGGGGCGGGCGAGTCGCGCGCGGACTGCACCCCAGCAGCGCAGAGGGTCGATCAGCTGACGCCGACCCCCTTCTCCCCGCCGCCGGTCATGGCCGTGACACGCCCTCAAACAGGCTGCTGGTGATCCTCTCTGGCCGGCCGTATGCACAGTGGAGGGCGCGAGGCGGGAGGCGGGGCCGACCAACGCCGCGGGCAAAAAATAAAAACAACGCATGGGGCCTCGCGTTGGTCGCAGCGTAGGCATGTCGCATCAGACGCGGGACAGGGGGGTGGCGTGCGCGGTAGCGGCAGCGGGCTGAGAGGGGGGGGGGGGCTGCACCGCCACCATACGTGCAAGGAAGGTATCTACCGAAAACAACCGCGAGAGCGAGAAGTAGTCGCGCGGCCGCCACCCGGGGACGCCCGGCCGCCAGCAGCCGCGGGGCTCTTCCTACAGTACCCCCGCATGGGCCCTCGCGCTGAATCAGTGGCAGAAAAACAAACACACACACACGCGCGCCACACTCTCACCCACTCACTCACACAGATACACGCGCGGTCCACATTCGGCCGTCGCGTCGCCGCGCCGCCGCCTCCTCGGCCTGCTGGCTACAGCCCATGCAATAACACAGGACTTCCCCCCTCTCACTCCCCCTCTCGACGTTCTTCTTCTTTTTTCTGGTCGTAAGCGACGCACTGACGGATGGGGACAAGACGCCCGCGGCGGCGTTGTGCGGTTGCGAGTCATCGGCTATACCGGCGAACAGCAATAACAACAACAATGACGACGACAAAAATATGTAAAAACACAAAATGAGGGCTGTGCTGAAGGGTGTCAGAGTGCCAAAGAGTACAGGAACACACATTTATGCAAGCGTGGCATACGGGTTTGGGGGCCGAACCGAGAGAAGTTGCACCATTTTGCAGTTCATTTCCGCAGAAAGCTTCGGCTCATGTAGTATCTCGTCCCCGTTATTTTCCGCCAAAGGCAGGC